GGCCACGCTTTTCACTTCTGTCCTGATGCTCAGAAGCATAGCACAGGCACTGGGGGAAACAGAGACATTTGTCACACAAGATTATCTAAAACCCAGCAAAAGAGCTAAAGTCTCCAAATCTCCTTTTAGCCTGTTCTCGGATGTAGCTCTGCTGCAAAAAATAATAATAATAATAAAAAAATCGATCACACTACCGCTTCCACCAGCACAGCATATAGTTTGAGCTCCAGTGCCCACAAGGCAGGGCAACAGCTTCATCCGGTTGCATTTTTATTACCTCTACTCCCCCTCGCCCTTAAGCAGAAATTGCAACTTTCCCCCCGTAAGCTGCCAAAAGTGAGCTCACATGCACACAAAACTGGTTTTGCTGATGGCAGCTAAAAATGCCACTCGCCACAGTTCTTCTCAGCCCGTGACCCTTCCCTCTCGGGTTAACTCTTTTATCATTTTGATGGATTCCGGCTGCTTCACTGCCCATTAAGCACCCCTGGCCATTTGCAAACCCACATTTGGGGCGCGCACAAAGAGATGCACCAATGCAAAAATGGATCATCGTCATCGTTATTTAGGGAGAGATATAATAATAAAAATAGCAGCAGCAGCAGCAGCAGCAATCTGCTGTCATGGTGAAAAGGAGCCACCTGCTCTTGAGCCAACAGCCAAACTTCTAAACAGCACCGCTTCTGAACTCGTCCCAAATTTTAAACGCACCAAAAAGCACGAGCACTAGAAGCCTGGAAAGACTTTTACGCGCGAAGGAACTCGCTCCTGCAGCACCTCTCCACTTTCGAAACATGCAACATCATTTAAACACTTTGAAAGGTTATCGAGATTCATTCCGAAACCAGGTGCACAACCTCCCTGCTGTCCAAAAGTCGCCGGAGCCTGGCAGGGCAAGGCCACCTGAACCCGATGCAAACTTTATTCTAGCTAGACCCTCGCGCTGCTGGCACAGAAAGGGGGCGGGGAAAGAGCGAGGCTCCCTCTGCCATGGGGAAAAGCAGCAGCAGCAGCAACAACAGTAGCGCTACGAACCGGCCCTACCACGCCAGGCTTGCAAGCAAAGCCGCTCGCCCTTGCAAGCCACAGCTCCTCACAAAAGCAATGCCAGCAGCCCCCCCCCCCCAAGCGCAACTCCAGCCCCGTGGCTAAAGTCGGCCAACTCCTCGGAGTGACTTTTCACATGAGTTGGGTGGCTTGCAAGATCGCACCCCTCCGCTGCCCCCCCCCCGGCACGCTCGACTGCAGAAGAGACTGGGAAGCAAGCAAACAAACCAACAAAAGGGGGAGGGATGCTTTAAAGCCGAAACAGCGGCCGCGGCAAAAGCAGCCGTATGGATGAGTGCGGACCCCGCCGACTGCGCGCATCTCCCCTGAAGGATGTGCGATTTGCAGGAGAAAGTCCTCGAGAGCCGGGATTTTGAGCATGAGCGCGAAGGATGATGCACCTGATGGCAGGAGCAGCCCCCTCCGCCGGCTCCTCGGCTGCTTCGCCCAGCGCCTTGCTTACCCGTGCATACTAGTATGCCATGCAGAGGGATGGAGAGGTAGGAGCACACGCGACTACAATGGAGACGGCATGAGCACGGCCTTTACCTTGGCGAGGGGTGTGTGTGTGTTTGTGTGTGCGCGCGCGCGCTTCTGCTGCCGGGCGCCGCGGCGATCGCCTCCTGTCAAAGCAGCGCTCGGCGCTTCTTCCCGACCCGGAGGAATAGCAGCGCCCGGTATCCCCGCGCCGCTGCCCGCGCCGGTCCACGTGCCGCTCCGCCACGCCCACCGGCGCGCTCTCCCAGCTCCCGATTTGCCTCTCCCGCCGCAGCCGTGGTGCTTTCGGAGCTGCTGCCTTGCAACGCTGGGCAACGCATTTGCAGGCTGGCCCGCGCGACGCAGAGCGGCGTCTCTCTCTCGGCTTCTGCCCTGCCCACGTTGAAGAAGGAAACATGGGCTGGGCTGGGGCGGTGGGAAAGGGAAGGTAGGAGGCAGTGCCCGCTCCAGGTTTGTTATTCAGAACCCGCCTTTCATTTCAGCGGATCCCAAAAATACAGATGCTATAACTCCACGTTTCAAAAGTCACGCATCGTTCCAAAAGAAAACACTTAGCAATAAGATCTGCGAACACCGAAGAGCAGGTTGCTTGGTTAATTACTGCACCGGAATTTCGAAAATGCCCCAGATTTAGACAAGACACTCTCCAAGGCCCCACAGTGGTGCGGTCAGGTAATCTTAGACTGGAGCCAATGGCTTTTCAGTCACTCCAACCGTGGTGATGCATATTATTTCGCTTCAAAATCAAGGGCCGGATTAAGACATTTAGAACCCCTAAGCACTTAGAAGATTTGGGTGCACCCCGTGTATATCTAGTTCAAAATATAAACAAGAATAAATGGCAAAATAAAATTTCATTTTTTGATATGAAACCTACAATTGGATGGAAAATAATGTTTATTTTTGTATATTTGTAACAATAATTTTATTTTTGTTGAGCTGCACCATATGGCTCATGGTAAATCTGGAAAAGGAAAAATTATGTGATGCTCCCCTTTCCCTTGATGCCCTAAGCACATGCTTATTTTGCTTAATGGTTAATCTAGCCCTGTTCAAAATGTAATAAGCCAACTCCGGAGTTTGGGGGGCTGCGCTTCTGCACTTAATGCCCAAAGTCCAGCCCCGAGGGCACCACAGTCTCTTCACTGCTCTTATCACCAGCTGCTGCAGCTCTGCATCATTGACACTGCTAGCACCTGTCATGTATGACTTAGCTGAGATTCCTGAATCACAGGGGGTTGGACTAGATGACCCTTAGGGTCCCTTCCAACACTTTGATTATGTGATTTCCGGGCAGAGAGTATTAAGCACATAAGAAAAGTTCTTCTTGTATCCCATCAAAGGATGCCTCTGAGAAGCCCACAGGCAGGTTCTGAGCTCAACAGCACTTTCCTCATTTGTGCTCCCCTGTATACTAACTCTGATACTGGAGATAGTACACAGACATCATGGCTAATAGAGAGCCTTATCGCCCATGAATTTGTCAAATCCTCATTTGTAGCCATGCAGGTTACATCACTACATCTTGTGAGAGTGAATTCCATAGTTTAAAAAATGTGCGCTAAATCTTCCCAAATCTTCCAGCATTTCATTTCATTGGATGACCTTGGGTTCCAGTATGAAAATGAGGGGAACATGTATTTCTGTTCACTTTCTCTAGACCATGAAATGTTTTCTTCACCTTTTTCCATGTTCCCCTTCACTTGTCTTTTTTCTAAACTAAAAAACTCAAAATGTTTCAACCTTTCCTCATAGGGATGTTATCCTAGATTCATGATCGTTTTGGTTGGCCTTTTTCTGAATCTTTCCCAGCTCTACAATGTTCTTTCTGAGGTGCAGCAAACAGAATTGTACACAGTATTCCTAGCCTGGCCAAACTATGGATTTGTACAGTGGCATGATATTTGCAGTTTTATTTTCAGTCACTCTCCTAATTATCCCCAACATGGAATTTTCCTTTTTCACAGCCGCTGCATACTGAGTTGACATTTACCTTCATCCCGATCGGACAAATGAAGCCTGGTCACAAACTCAAATCCCTTTTCTGATCAATCACCAGTGAATAGCATTTGTTACTTGAAGTCCCATAATGCAGAAGTCCTTTGGGAGCTCCACACAATATTTTTTTTTTCTTCCCACCCTGAACAACTTGACCATTTCACTGCTCACTCCTACTCTAGGTTATTTATTAACAACTTAAAAAGTACCAAAGCCAATACCCTTGTCACATCCATCCATTGGGAGAACTCTGTTTAGTTCTACTCTCAGCTTCCTTTAGTTACTAGTTACTGACCTGTCCTCTTATCCCATGACTGCTAAGCTTACTCAGGAGTCTTTTATAAGAGACTATTGAAAACTTTTTGAAAGTCACAATGTCTACTGGATCTCTCATGCTTACTGACACTGTCAAATAATGCTAAACAGTTAAGTAGACAGCACTTATCCCTGCAGAAGCCATGCTGATTATTCTTCAGCAATAATTGTTCTTCTATATGCTTGGTAATTCAGTTTTTAATTGTGCGTTCCACCAGTTTTCTCAGAACCAATTATAAGCTACGGTAACAGCTCTATCATTTCCTAGAACCTCCACATCCTTTTAAAAAAAAGAAGGTGTTACTTTGGCTATTTCTTTTGCATTGGATTGAACTAATTTGTTCTAGCCCAGCAAAACCTCTTGACTGGAACTCTTACACACAGGAATCATTAAAGCAGGAGTCGCCAACATGGTGCAATCAAAATATCATGGACTACTTCTCCCATCAGCTCCAGCTAGCGTTGCTAGTAGTCAGGGATGATGGGAGTTTGAGTTAACAATTTCAGAAAGCACAACTTTGACCACCTTTAGATTACAGGCTTTGCCATCTCCCTAGGTTTGACTGGGCCAGTCCCTGCTGGTTGCTGCACCAGACCATTATTCCTATGTATTTTGTATTTTTAAATAGTATAGCAAAGCAAAAAAAAAAAAAGCACAGTAGGTGCAAGCATTGCCCTGGTTTTGACAGGTTTCCTAGTTTTGCAATTGTATGTGAACACCATAGTGCAGAACTATATCTGGATACAGTTGTAACTTGGTTCTCGAACGCCTTGGTACTCGTACGTTTTGGCTTCCGAACACCGAAAACCCGGAAGTGTTCCGGTTTCTGAACGTTCTTTGGAACCCGAACGTCTGACGCTGGCTTCTGCTGCTTCCAATTGAGTGCAGGAAGCTCCTGTAGCCAATTGGAAGCTGCACCTTGGTTTTTGAACGTTTTTGGAAGTCGAACGGACTTCTGGAACAGATTATGTTCGAGAACCAAGCTACGACTATATTTCCTACCTTCCAAAGCATGTTATTCACACTACTACATGGGTCTAAGGGACGTTTGCAACTTCCAGCAAATGTAGTTTGATATTTAGGCAGCAATCCTATAACTACTTACCTAGGAGTAAGCCCCATTGAACTCAGTGGTACTTACATGCATAGGATCGTACTGCATGTCTCCCAGTACATAAAACAGGTTCATAGCCTTCCACCCTATCCAGGACTCGTTCATCATCTCGATGCAATTTATCTTGGTTTGGTGGCTGCAGAGTCTCTACAGATAAACACAACAGAGGAAAAACAGATGAATCAGATCTTTGACAGCCATAATGGGTTCAAGGTAGCATTATGTAAACATTATTAAGTGCAATAAACACATGTCAGCATTAGACACTTGTGTGGATGTGCCAGTAAGAGTTACCGTGAACTTCTTAGTCATAATGTCTTTCTAACTTTATGTAGATAGTATAATAGCGGTTCAAGCGGTGCTGCAGCCTTGACGGGAAATCTTTACCCTGTAATAGATAGGCCAGGTCTGAAAGAGTGCCACTGGGAGACTGTACGCTTTCATTCATATAGATGCTGCGCATTTGTCGGACTGACAGGGAGGCCGGCCACCAGCTTTTTGCAGTGTAATTACTAGTAGAGCAGTGTTTTAGAGGCCCTGTTTGCTCCCGCCCATCCGGAAAACAGGTGCGGTATGTGAGTTTTAACGTGAAATGTAGAACTGTCTCCTGAATGGTGATTTTTAACTCTGCTGAAATAGGTGTTTTTGCATTCTTACACAAGTAAGAAGAGGGAGGATAAATGTCAAGGTTCAGGGAATCCGATCCTTCCCATGGTGGACAACCAAGAATTGGAATCAGGGGTCAGCAAACTTTTCCAGCAGGGGGCCAGTCCACAGTCCCTCAGACCTTGTGGGGGGCCGGACTGTATTTTGAAGAAAATATATTTTATTTAAATTTTATTAAATGATTTTATTTAAAATGCATCTCTGGGTTATTTGTGGGGCATAGAAATTCGTTCATTTTTTTCTCTCCAAAATATAGTCCAGCCCCCCACAAGGTCTGAGGGACAGTGGACCGGCCCCCTGCTGAAAAAGTTTGCTGACCTCTGCTCTAGATGTTGTTGTACACCAGCTCCCATCATCTCTGGCCACTGACCAGACTATCTGAGGCTGATGTAAGTTGGGAGTCCAGCAATTTCTGGAGTGCCACACAGGTTCCCCACCCCTCCCCTAGGCACCCTAAGAAAGTTTACAGCCTTCTACTTGAGGCGCTTCACTTTCCCCTCTTGCACTAGCTATTTTCCGCTACTCCAACAGCAGGAAGTTCCACAAGTTAACACTTAGTCCTCCAGATGAAGCTAGGGACTGGTCTACTCTTGTGCTGCATCTTGCAAATTCCAATCCTTCCACACCGAATGCTCAAAAGGAAAATGTAAGTAGATGACAGCATTTTATTATGTTGTCTGTCAGTTTGTTTTTTATTATGTTTTTAAACATTGATGTAATGTGTTTTTAATGTTGTACAACACCCTGGGATCTTTTTATAAAGGGTGGTATATAAATTGAATATTTATAATAAATTGAATATTTAAAATAAATTAATAATAAATTGAATATTTATTAGTAGTAGTAGTATTCCTGTTCCTGTTTCTATTTCTTCCTCACATCCATCACAAACACAGGTTTGGGGTGTTTTAAATGCCCCCTTCTCAAGATTAGGTGTTTTAGTGACAAGGCCAGATTTGAATCAGCAGTCTGGCCCCACCCCTTGATAATGATTGACAGGAGGGGGTGGAGACAGAGTGGAGAAATTAGGGCAGTGCAGCTGGTAGGTGAGTGGGCTTTGTGATCAACACTCAACCCCCATAGTGGAGAATCTCAAGCCCAAAGACCAATAGCGGCCCTCTCAACCTCTCCACCTGGCCCTTGGATCTCTCTCTCCAGGTCATACCTCTCCCCGGCTCTGCTCTGCACCCTCCCTGAGTGTTTTTGCCCAGATAGACTGTGTTCCTAAGTACTGACAATGCCTACTACTCGTCTGGATGGTGGACACAGAGGAGTGGGTGGGGCTAAAATACTGTGCAAAGGTTCCATTTTCGTTTGTTGCTCCACCCACTTTGCCTCTGGCTTCACCCTTCATTGATAGATGGCCCTCAGAAGGTTCTGCAGAAAGGAATGTGGCCCCTGGGCTAAGGAAGGGCCCCCACTCCAGCTCAAACCCTTTCTACACACACACATAAATAAAATCGGGACAGAAGTAAACTCTCTATGCTCTCTTTCCCCCCTGACACCTGTGCACAGTGCCAAATTTGATGACCCCTTTGCTAGCTGAGACTAATGGCCAATATTTGATATGATGTAATGTGTTTTCCCCCTTCATGGATCACTGCCTTGCTGTGGCGAAGGGGCTTGAAGAACTCAGAGAAGCTATGAACTACGCCGAGCAGGGCACACAAGATGAACAGGTCATAGTGGAGAGTTTGGACCAAACGTGATCCACCTGGAGGAGGAACCGGCAAGCCACTCCAGTATCCTTGCCAAGAAAACTCCATGGACAAAGACAACAGGCATATAAAAGTTATGACGCTGGAAGATGAGCCCCTCAGGTCGGAAGGCGTCCAACATGCTACTGGGGAAGAGCGGAGGGCAAGTACAAGTAGATCCAGAGCTGATGAAGCGGCTGGGCCAAAGCCGAAAGGACGCTCAGTTGCGGATATGCCTGGAAGCGAAAGGAAAGTCCAATGCTGTAAAGAAAAATATTGCATAGGAACCTGGAATGTAAGAACCATGAACCTGGGTAAGTTGGAGGTGGTCAAAAATGAGATGGCAAGAATAAATATTGACATCCTGGGCATCAGTGAACTAAAATGGACGGGAATGGGCGAATTCAGTTCGGATGACCATCACATCTACTACTGTGGGCAAGAAACCCGTAAAAGAAATGGAGTGGCCCTCATAGTCAACAAAAGAGTGGCGAAAGCTGTACTGGGATGCAATCTCAAAAATGATAGAATGATCTCGATACGAATCCAAGGCAGACCTTTTAACATCACAGTAATCCAAGTTTATGCACCAACTACTGGTGCTGAAGAAACTGAAATTGACCAATTCTATGAAGACTTACAACACCTTATAGAAGTGACACCAAAGAAGGATGTTCTTCTCATTATAGGGGATTGGAATGCTAAAGTAGGGAGGCAAGAGATAAAAGGAACAACTGGCAAGTTTGGCCTTGGAGATCAAAACGAAGCAGGGCAAAGGCTAATAGAGTTCTGTCAAGAGAACAAGCTGGTCATCACAAACACGCTGTGATGGCCTGGGATTCCGAGTCTGAGAGCGATCCGGAGGAATCCCAGCCGGCACAGGAGTCCCCGCCTCCAGGGCCGGCTGAACTGGGGCAAGGCCTAGATGCTGAGGAACCTCAAGAGCAGGCACCAGGTGAAACCATTCTGGCCCCAGAGGTGCTGGAAGACTCAGTGGCTACAGGTGAGCCTCCCCCGGGGCCCAGTAACCCTTCGGCCTCTCCTGATCTGCAGAGGCTTAGGGCAGAGAGGCGAAGGGAACTGGTGTCTCCCAGGAGGAGTGCTCGCCTTAAGGCCAAGAGAGGCGGGGCTTCTGGGGGCCGGGACCGCCCCCGGCCTTAGAAGAAGATAAAGGTCAGGCAGCCCGGTCCCAGGTTGCGGGAGCAACGTCGTTGTGGAGTACCTGCTTTACCCAGTCCTTGATCTGCACTCCCAGTGTGCCTGTTCCTCGCCCGGCTTCCTGTTCCTGACTATCCGGTGTTCCTGTTCCTCGCCTGGACTCCTGCTTCTGCCCTACCAGTGTTCCTGTTCCTCGCCTGGACTCCTGCTTCTGCCCTACCAGTGTTCCTGTTCCTCGCCTGGCTTCCTGCTTCTGCTCTACCAGCGTTCCTGTTACCCCGCCCGGCTCCCTGTCTCGGACCTCGCGTCTCATCTAGTGAGACCCTGCTAGAGACTCTGGACTGATCTTGGGCTAAGGTAATAGTACCTTATTCCCCCTGGGACCAGCACACACGCTTTTCCAACAACACAAGAGACAACTCTACACATGGACATCACCAGATGGGCAGCATCGAAATCAGATTGATTATATTCTCTTCAGCCAAAGATGGAGAAGCTCTATACAGTCAGCAAAAACAAGACCTGGAGCTGACTGTGGCTCAGATCATCAGCTTCTTATAGCAAAATTCAAGCTTAAACTGAAGAAAGTAGGAAAAACCACTGGGCCGGTAAGATACAATCTAAGTCAAATCCCTTATGAATACACAGTGGAAGTGAGGAACAGGTTTAAGGATTTAGATTTGGTGGACAGAGTGCCTGAAGAACTATGGATGGAGGCTCGTAACATTGTACAGGAGGCAGCAACGAAAACCATCCCAATGAAAAGGAAATGCAAGAAAGCAAAGTGGCTGTCCAACGAGGCCTTACAAATAGCGGAGGAGAGAAGGCAAGCAAAATGCGAGGGAGATAGTGAAAGATACAGGAAATTGAATGCAGATTTCCAAAGAATAGCAAGGAGAGACAAGAAGGCCTTCTTAAACGAGCAATGCAAACAAATAGAGGAAAACAACAGAATGGGAAGAACCAGAGATCTGTTCAAGAAAATTGGAGATATGAAAGGAACATTTCGTACAAAGATTACCATAATAAAGGACAAAAGTGGTAAGGACCTAACAGAAGCAGAAGACATCAAGAAGAGGTGGCAAGAATACACAGAAGAATTATACCAGAAAGATATGGATGTCTCGTACACCCCAGGTAGTGTGGTTGCTGACCTTGAGCCAGACATCCTGGAGAGTGAAGTCAAATGGGCCTTAGAAAGCACTGCAAATAACAAGGCCAGTGGAAGTGATGGTATTCCAGCTGAACTATTTAAAATTTTAAAAGATGATGCTGTTAAGGTGCTACACTCAATATGCCAGCAAATTTGGAATACTCAGCAGTGGCCAGAAGATTGGAGAAGATCAGTCTACATCCCAATCCCAAAGAAGGGCAGTGCCAAAGAATGCTCCAACTACCGCACAATTGCACTCATCTCACACGCTAGCAAGGTTATGCTTAAAATTCTACAAGGAAGGCTCAAGCAGTATGTGGATCGAGAACTCCCAGAAGTGCAAGCTGGATTTAGAAGAGGCAGAGGAACCAGAGACCAAATTGCAAACATGCACTGGATTATGGAGAAAGCTAGAGAGTTCCAGAAAGACATCTACTTCTGCTTCATTGACTATGCAAAAGCCTTTGACTGTGTCGACCACAGCAAACTATGGCAAGTTCTTAAAGAAATGGGAGTGCCTGATCACCTCATCTGTCTCCTGAGAAATCTCTATGTGGGACAAGAAGCTACAGTTAGAACTGGATATGGAACAACTGATTGGTTCAAAATTGGGAAAGGAGTACGACAAGGCTGTATTTTGTCTCCCTGCTTATTTAATTTATATGCAGAATACATCATGCGAAAGGCTGGGCTGGATGAATCCCAAGCTGGAATTAAGATTGCCGGAAGAAATATCAACAACCTCAGATATGCAGATGACACAACCTTGATGGCAGAAAGTGAGGAGGAATTAAAGAACCTTTTAATGAGGGTGAAAGAGGAGAGCGCAAAATATGGTCTGAAGCTCAACATCAAAAAAACGAAGATCATGGCCACTGGTCCCATCACCTCCTGGCAAATAGAAGGGGAAGAAATGGAGGCAGTGAGAGATTTTACTTTCTTGGGCTCCATGATCACTGCAGATGGTGACAGCAGCCATGAAATTAAAAGACGCCTCCTTCTTGGGAGAAGGGCAATGACAGGCCTAGACAGCATCTTGAGAAGTAGAGACGTCACCTTGCCAACAAAGGTCCGTATAGTTAAAGCCATGGTTTTCCCAGTAGTGATGTATGGAAGTGAGAGCTGGACCATAAAGAAGGCTGATCGCCGAAGAATTGATGCTTTTGAATTATGGTGCTGGAGAAGACTCTTGAGAGTCCCATGGACTGCAAGAAGATCAAACGCATCCATTCTTAAGGAAATCAGCCCTGAGTGCTCACTGGAAGGACAGATCGTGAAGCTGAGGCTCCAGTACTTTGGCCACCTCATGAGAAGAGAAGACTCCCTGGAGAAGACACTGATGCTGGGAAAGATGGAGGGCACAAGGAGAAGGGGGCGACAGAGGACGAGATGGTTGGATAGTGTTTTCGAGGTTACCAGCATGAGTCTGACCAAACTGCGGGAAGTAGTGGAGGACAGAGGTGCCTGGCGTGCTCTGGTCCATGGGGTCACGAAGAGTCGGACACGACTAAACGACTAAACAACAAACAACAACAACAATGTGTTTTCTTCTTTCTTCGTTTTCCATCGCACTTCCAGTCATGCCAAACCAGATTTCCTAACCCTGGTCTTTCCCCCAGCTGCTGATCTAAAAAATTGGTTGGTATGGGGAAGATTCCTATCTCGCTTCTTTCCCAGTCTGGGTTCTGTGATTATTTAAAAACTGTAATTAAGATTATATAGAAACATGGAATTAAACTACCAACTTCTTAAGGCAATTGGTGCCTTGTGAATAATTAAAGTAAAAATTGCCAATGGAATTGACGCCAGTGTGGATCTGTGAATCAATTAAGTTGTCAAAATATTGCTGTGTAGTGCCCTCAAAGGAAATTTGCTCCCGAAGTGTGTATTTAAGGGCAATTTCACTGTATTCCTGCAAGATTAACAATTATTTTAATATATACCTATTGTGGTGATTTAAAAACTAGCTTGCAAATGAATATGCTAATATCTGATTCTGTGGAAACGAGTGATTACGCCACTTTCTAACATCCTTGGCAAAAGCTCCTTTGATCAATTATTTCTTGTTTAACTTCTTTTGCTATACTTTTGGATGTCACACTCAAGTTCTTAGTGTAGAGCTGCGAATAAAAGGGGCTTTTACAAAGATAAGAGCACTACAGGGATTCATAATGGTGAAATCACTTACTTGCGCTTCTCATCTCTACGAGCAAATGTCTGAAATGAAATTAATTTGGTGATCCCAGGTTAGTCTGCAATGGGCCCTGGCCCATGCCTCAAATAAGCTAAATTATTGTTATTATCCCTATGTTCTAGTTGTAACAATAGAAGTTAATTGAGCTGCCTAATCATTTAATTTCTGGTATTAAAATGAAAATGTTTATGTTTGATGAGAGCTGCCATTCCTCAAAGGGATCTGAACTGAACCACTTGGGTGCAACCCATATTCTGTAAATGCCCTGGGTTCAAACAAACGAATGAATGAATGGCAGACAGGACAAAAGCAATAACTTTTAATCTCTCCCCCGCCCAAATCTGGGACATTTGCAAACTGTTTTTATTGGTATTTGGCTAGCTGCTGTCAGAAAATAGAATACTGACTAGAGGAAACATTGGTTTGATCTAACAAGACAATGATGTTGATGGATTCTATCCTATTCTTCAGCCACAAAAAGTGAATGGAAGTGTTAATGCAATACCTACCCTCAGGTTTACAGTGTGTGTGTGTGTGTGTGTGTGTGTATGCATAACACAAAAGGAAAAGGGACTGGTAGGGAGGAACTGAAAAGCTAGCTCAGGCACTGTTTCTTAAGTTATGAAATTTTTGTAGTGACCAGATAGAAGAAAGAACAGAACAGAACAGAACAGAATAGAATAGAAATTCCTCAGCATAGCATATAAGCAAGGAAGAGAGTATTACTGATGCATAGGATAGTCTTTAAAGCCATTATATCCGCAGCATACATTTAAGCACATTTATGCTTTAATTCCCCCCCTCAAATAATTCTGGGAACTGTGGTTTGTTAAGAGTGCCCAGAGTTGTTAGGACATCCCTTACAGAGCTATAGCTTTCAGATGTCCACTATAAGGTCACAGAATGGGCTGTTTGTTCTTAGACGCCAGAACCACAACTCATGATAGGGTTATTTTTGAGCGTTCAGTTGTTCAGCTTACATATTTGTAAATAAACTCAAATAAAACTTATTTTCTCATTTGGATAAGACTTCAATTTTCTGAAGGAAGGCTTCCTTCCTCTAATATCTTTCCTCTGCTTGCTAACTACGCAAGTATCCTGTTGGCCTTGGTGGTACTTTTCCTGATCTGCAAGTGTACCTTTCAGCTTAGCTTCTGTTATTGTGGTTTTTGAGTGTCTCCCAAACATCCTGGATAAATTTAGCCCCCTTGACTCTGTGGGAGACCACCTACAACAACATTCTTATATGTATTTGCCCATAGTTCATTTTAGAACTGAAATACTCATACAGATTCTATTTTATTTTGGGGGTGTCCACTTTGTATTCCTCTCTTCTATAGAACTTCATATATATAATACTCATACCCTCCAACACTTTGAAGCCAAAATCTGAGTCACCGTCTTACCATTTCTTGTGGGAGCATGGCAGCCATTTTGGTTACCACAATCTGTCATGATTTCACCCACCCCACCCCACAAAAGGATTTTTGGGGAGCATGGCCCCCCAAAACACACATTTCAGGGCACCACACAAGATCGCAGCCTCAAAAAAAGTATTTTTGGGGGGCAGGGAGAGGAATCACACTGCGAATTTGTGTGAGATCGCGATGACCAAAATGGCCGCTGTTCCCTCACGTTAAAAAACACAGGATGTCCCAATTTTTCCAGGACACTTGCAGGGCATGTAAGCATTCGTTCGTTGCATTAATATCCTACCTTTTTTCTTCAAAGAGCTCAAGGTGGCAAACATGGTCTCCTCCTGGATTCATTTAATCACCACAACAATCCTGTGAGGTAAAATAAGCTGAGAGGACGTGACTGGCCTAAGGTCATCCATTGACCTTCATAGATTTGAACCTTGGTCTCTCAGGTCTTAGTCCAACATTTGAACCAATACACTACAAACTATTTACTTTGATAAGCTGTGCTGACTCTCACCCCCCCATCTTTTTCTGTTTCAATGGATTATATATTAGTAAGCTGGATAAATGGGTGTATTCCGAATATGACTAGCATCGTATGGTTTTGCTTGTTTCTGAGATATTGTGACCAGAACTCTAAGACTATTGAACAACCAGATATGGATGCGCCAGTTGATTTAAATGTACGGCCTGCTTTATGTACAAGGCTTCTGTACATATAAACGTACTTCGGAATAGACAAATATGTATATGTTATACAATAAAAACCACCTGTTGCCGATCTATATTCTATTGCCGACAGGGTGAAGCAGAACAATAGAGTGCCTTGCGACCTTCAACAGCCTCACTCCTGTCCCTTTTAAATTTATCCCACGGATTTGAAATGTCTTAACGTGTATTATTTTTTAAAAAATAAATTTTTATTGGAAATTTTATTTACAACATAACATAAACCCCCCACCCCCAATAAAGAAATCCACCCTTATTAAACATGAACATAACATACAATAAGCATAACATACAACAATACAAACAACCAAATAAAAGACTTCCTTTATCCTGTATTTAAGTTATAATTAGAAAAATCTTAATAATTGCTCATAAAGGAAACAGTTTATAAGAAGTAAATAAGGAGGCCAGATGCCAGATACTGAAATGTCTCAACTTATAATGCCAATAAAGGGATTTGTATTGTATTGTATTGTATTGTATTGTATTGCCTCTGAGGACCATCCTTCCAGCCATGGCTGGGCTGTTGTAATATCTTTCTAGAATACCAGCAAAATGGCCTGGTCACAAAAAGTGATGGCCTGGTCATAATTTTGAAAACGGATCAGGTTTTGCTGAGTTGTCGTGTATGTGTGTATTTGAATAGGGGACAAGGAGGGAAGGAATGTCTTAAAATAAAATGAGAGAGAGTGTGTCTCATGGGGAAAACGAAGAAGAGAAGTGAGGACGAAGGGACGTGGATGAAGCTCTCCAATACTAATAAAAGGCTTCATTCACCTCAGGCCCAGAGCAAAAAGTGCTCTACTTGCACCTTGGTATTAAACAATAAAAGAAACAAGAGAGGACTGTCATTCAGGGAGAAGATGCGCCTCTGACTTCCATTCAGTCTGATGTGGATAAAAAAGGGAGGGGAAAACCTGGGGAGGAGAGGGTTTGATTAATGAGCTTTTGTGGTTGTTTGTAACCGAGTTCACCCCTATTCTGTCTGCACTAAGGTAACCCCGTTTGAGGTAAGGTAAAGGTAAAGGTACCCCTGCCCGTACGGGCCAGTCTTGACAGACTCTAGGGTTGTGCGCCCATCTCACTCAAGAGGCCGGGGGCCAGCGCTGTCCGGAGACACTTCCGGGGCACATGGCCAGCGTGACAAGCTGCATCTGGCGAGCCAGCGCAGCACACGGAAACACTGTTTACCTTCCCGCTAGTAAGCGGTCCCTATTTATCTACTTGCACCTGGGGGTGCTTTCGAACTGCTAGGTTGGCAGGCGCTGGGACTGAGCAGCGGGAGCGCACCCCGCCACGGGCATTCGAACCGCCGACCTGACGATCGGCAAGTCGCTGAGGTTTTACCCCGTTTGAGACTAACTGCTAAATGTTTATATTGCAACTAGCTGCTAAATGTTTCTTTCATATTGCTCTGCTCCATGCTGGTTTCATAGATTTAGGCACGTGGCTGATAAGGTAAAAATATTCGCCCGGGTCATTATCTTAGCTTTCAAAAACAATGAAGAGAGAAAGTACATAATAAAACATTTGCATGTCATTTGTGTAGGGCTTTTTTTAAAATGAAGATTTCAGAATAGCCTGAAGGAATTGTATAGGGCAAATGTATCTACCATCTTTTTTTCACCTTCGCAGATAACAATAATCAATAATAACAATATTAATAAAAATAAATATTTATACCCCGCCCATCTGGCCGGGTTTCCCCAGCCACTCTGGGCGGCTACTCTTGTGTATCCTACATAGAATTCCTTAATAGTTTTCTGTGGGTTTCTGGGTGGCTGCTGCTTTTGACAACCAAAATGGAAGTTCTTTCCAGACATTTCTTCATTTTCCTGGACGGTTACATAAAATTTGCAACAATCCAGCTCCCTGACAGAATTGCCGTACAATAAGAGACACTTGCCAGATGGCCTCAATTCGTGAGAAATATGTGTTTCTAATGCACACACGTCAAAACCAATTCAGCATGCAATTTTAACCTTGGGGATTTGACTGTTTTTTTCGACAGAATCTGTTGCTGGTGGAGACGAAAACGTTATTGAAAATGCTCAACCGCTACATACAGGAACAGGTCAAGACAAACAAACAGGGTCAACTTACTCAGTGAGGTCCTACCTATTCAGTTTCCTTTTGAGGAGAATTTTCAGGGACGGAACTAGAGTTTCATCTTTTCATGTGTGAAAGGTATGTGTATCTACCATCAAAGGCACATTGAAAGTGGTCCAAGACAAAAAGCTCATTGCGCAACAACTGAACTATCAACCGTAGCCTACCTAAAAGCCTGAAATCTCTAGCCTGCTTCAAGGCAACATATAACTCAAGCAACAAAGACTGGAGGTGCAGAGGTGTCTATTCTTGCAGGCATAACTTTGAGCAAAAGAGCTTATTGCATAATCACAGCCTTTATAAAAAGGCAGATATAAGTGTAGAAAGAATGAAGGCAATGGGACTGAGGGTTAAGGCACTGGCGATGTAACACAGTGATACCCCACAGCTGGCTAAGGAACATAATTTAAAAAGAGGAAATGCATCACCAAAGCAGATGGCCCAGATTTGCATATAATCTACATATGGTAATTAGTATGTACGCATGTAAATTTATAAGTAATTACTGTACTTTCAAGGGAAATGTGATACATCTCATCATGACTGTGACCTGTTTTGTTGTCCAATCTGCTATATAGGTGCTAACCATCGATGCATCTTTATGTCTCTGCTTCCCACTTCTTAAAGGTTTATCCTTAAACGAAACTTGACGGATTGAAATCTTATATGTGATTGAAGTCACGTGTAGTAGACAGCCCTTCTTTTAACCAGCTAAAGATTTTGTATTTTTCCAAGGTTCCAGAAGGGGCGTTCTTCAGCCTATTTTAAAACTGATTTATTGTGGCTTGGCTTGAAGTTGCTTGTGATGAGGGGCAAGCAGAAATTCTCTAAATGTATAAATATCCAAATGTATGGTACAGCATGAAGTACCCACTTGTGCTGCTTAAAAACAAGAGTGTCTTACCGAAAATTAAAGCTACAACGAATGCTTGTTTTTAAGTGATCAACCATTACTTTTGGTATTACAAGCATGTGTATATAGATCCCTTATAGCTTACTGTCATGTAATGCTTTATAAATGATACTTAATAAACAACAGCTGTGAGTCTTACAGAAGTATTCATCAAGGCACACATTCATTAATGGTAAATCACTTTTGACTGGTAAGATGCTAGTGGCTGGCATGTAATCTTTTAATGGCCTGTGCTTTGAGTAATGCAGGTCAATTCTTTTGTCATGAAGTAATACAGGAGGAATAATGTGCTAGTGTTTTCGTTAGGACAAAATAGTTATAAAAGCTCACTTGGCTATCTGTGGGCTATGAGGGTTGCAGAAAGGATAAGGCATCCTTTGCCAACCTGGTGCACAGTGGACTAGCGCTGATGGGAGCTGTAGTCCAGAAAATCTGGAGGGCACCAGCTTAGTGAAGACAATAGCATCTATGCAGACTTGCTATCTGTTAACGTTAGTGAACCAGCATTACAGTTATTGTTGGTTTTCTTTCCATTTTTAATTTGTATGCTGCCTTTCAACATTACTGTACTCAAAGTAGTCTAAAACCCACATTTTGTTGTTGCTATTGGCATCTGTCAGTCTCAAGAGTCAATGGAGTGCACCTCCAGGGGTGAAGTCTGCTGGTTAGCAACACCGAAGTGACCTCAGGGCACAAGCCTGGGCATTGTGCATGGAGGTCCTGGGTTGCCCCAAGAACAAGACCCTGCTCTCAGCCTCACTGATGTGGTCCAAAGGAAAGCAGAGCAATACGTCTGGCATCAGGCTGGCTGCAGGAGTTACCGAAAGGAGGTGTACAAGGAGCCATCCAACCATCTCAGGTTGACGAGCCCCACCTGCCCCTCACTTCTCTCTACAACATGTGCAGAAACTGCCTTCTTGATCATTAGACCTACTGTTGGTCTCGTCCGCCCAATCTGCCAGAGCCTGTCTTCGCATGCAGGAGAAGTCCCTAATTCACAGAGATTCTGAGACCCATTGGCTACCCTCACCAGGTTTAGTTGGCCGGTCAAAGCTATTCCCGGGGTGTGGCCACTTTCACATGCTGACAGCTTCTAGGAGCTGAGTACAGGGTGGGGAGCAACTTTGGGCAAACTACCCCAGAAGGAGCAGGACAGGTCCCCCAACAGAAGTACTACCCCTCCCCTAAGACCCCATACACCCCAAAAATGACCCACATAAATGACAAAATATGCAACAAACGTATGTCATCATGCAATAACAATTCAAAATAAAAATAAGCACTCAACAAAACTTAGGAATCCTTTTCACATGTAATATGAGCTAGTATAATATCAGCAAAGGACAAAATAAGTTACATCCATCTACTGCAATAAATGAATTCTTAAGTTTTGAACAAACTAAACAATATCAGCAAAATGTAATAACATATAGTGCCACAGACTATGCAAAAATTATAAATTTACTACTTCCACATACATTGTTTGCAATGTTCATTTTAAATTTTATCGATTGTATTGCCAGGCAACTACTCAAGGTGATAAGCTCCCAGGGCAATGCTACCAGACTTTTGGGGTCTTTGTAATATTTGTTTCATTTTCCCAGGCCCAGTCTCTCTGTAAGTCTTAATAAATGGTGGAGATTATA